TTCGTCCTTACCACACTCCAATACACCGCAGCATATACAGACTATTTTGATTATCATTCCTGACTAGCACACATGCTCTGGAAAGACGAGGATTCTTTGTTTGGTGTTTTTGTTTTTGTCACTGTGACACTCTAGCACCTGGAACATAAAATAATTCTTACATCATACTCTATTACAGATGTAATACAGTAAGAATACATTAGGTATTTCTGTAATGAATCTGTAGCTGACTCTGGAGGAAAGTGAAATTGGGGAAGTAGAGCAACCTGGGGTATTTGAAGCACAGCATTCGCTTTTGTGACTTGTGTATGTCTGGGTAAGGAGCTCTGATAGCACAGTGCCTAAGGCATCTGACTGCTGACCAGAAGGTTGGTGATTCAAACCCACTGGCCACTCCACAGAAGCAAGATTGGACAATCTGCTTCCATAAAGATTTATCACCTCAGAAACCCAGTGGGGGTTACTGTGAGTCGGCATGGACTTGACAGCAGTGGGTTGGTTGGTTGCTGGTATGTGTCTGGCTGTGACTTTACCTTGTAAAGTTTTTTGAGAATTAAATGGAATAGTATCTGATAAGTATTTAGCACAGTGCCTGACATAGTGAAATTGTAGCTATAATCATTACTATTACTGTTGCCATTATTAAGTGACATATCTTGGCAGTGCCTGAATACAAAGGTCCAGTCCGGTGTTTTATATTTACCTCCAAGATTTATTGTACATTATATGGTAGTTCCCTTACAGTGCTGCCTATATTCTGTGCATTCCATTCAAGTCGGAGGATACCGCGTACACTGGGATCACCGCGTACACTGGGATCACGTTATCTGAGGTTCTTGGCATATGAATTTCAGAGCTACCTGGTTAGAGAGAAAACAGATAAACGTGCGCTGGAAACAAGCTTGTGTCAGTGGAGCGTGCAGGGCTCCCCTCTACACTGAATGGTGTTAGCTTGAACTGGTGCTGACCCAGGCTTGCTCTGCTCGAATTTCTCCTGCTGCTGCAGTATGGACCTTGACTAAGTAGAGCTCTTTTCTGCCATGTGCTTGTCCTGTGTCCTGAAGGGAGAAGCAGCTCTGTGATAAAGGTGGCCTGCTCCATAGCACATTCTGGAACTTACAAGCACAGACTGCAGGCGAGATGCAGTTAGACAGCCTTTCTAATCCATTCAACAGCTTTTAGGTCTGCCTTATGTTCTCTTTGGTTCTGAAAATGGCTCTAGTAAATTTTCATGTAAGGAAAAATGTTTTCATTTTGGTACATTAAGTATGAATTTACCATAAAACCAGATGACCTGAAATTTTGAACAGTTCTTGTTTTCCTGAAATGTGTTTTTTCTTTTTTATTCCCATTTTCTCTGTTGAGTTTTCAAGTGATAATTTAAAAGAATCATAATCCAGGGACAGATTCATTTTTATTCAATTCAAAATTTTAATTCACTTGCTTTTTTATTAGTAGGACTTGTCCACTGTATTTTTTTTAAATGAAATAAACCCTCATGTTTTACAGATAGCAAAAGTGTAAGTATTGACATGGCTTTTTAAATTCTTTATCTACAATCAAAACCAATGGAAGCAGCAGTCAAGACTAAAAGACTAAATTATCTTAAAATTTAATTTTAGAAAATCTAACATCTCTGTAAGTCTACAATTTAGGTATATTGTCTAATTTTATAGCTTAGTTATTATCTAATTATCTAATATATATGATTTATTAATTTTTTATATATGTCTCTAAGCTATATATTTTATATACATGTAATTATATTTTTGTTAAAATAGTTTCTTTCATTTACATAGCTGTTTAAATAATTTCATGTTGAAATACAATCTTCGTGTTTAAAAACCATTTAATCATTACTAGATAAGTTTACATTCCAAAAACTAAACTAGTAGCAGAGTTCTTGCCATGATACACACTTTATCTTATTAGTAAATAAGTGATATGTCAGCAAAACAGTGCTAACACTGATGCTGAGAAAATAAGATTAATCTTGATCATTAGGGCTTTCTTCCAGCAAATCCGGTAAATTCTGGACTTACGCCTGGTATGAGGTTGGAGGCATAAATGAGCAGTGTTAAGTACACTTGATTTTTAAAGGTGTCTCACTCACCCAGATAGTACTGTTTATCTGTGTGACTAGAACACCTTAAAATATTTTGAATAGCATTTAAAATAACCTGTCAGGTATTTTCAAGAAAAAATACAAGCGAAAGCATGTCGAAGTTATCCCCAGGCTGCGGGATAGTTGTTTTTTATGTTTAATGAGGAACAAATGCCATGTCACCAAAATACAAAAAAAGAAATTGAAGAAACTTTGTTTTTAATATGTAATTACTTTTAACTAGTTTATTGGTTTACGTTGCTTGCAAGACAACAGTTCATGAAAATGAAATACTTTGTGTTAAAATTGGGGTGTGAAACCTCTCATTCACAACAGTAAGGGTACAAATATTCATATAATCTTTCCTAATACTAATTCAACAAACATTTGAAAAGTTATTTTAGCATACTGTACTTGTTACTGTATGTAGATATGTGAATATATTATCTTTAAATCTGATATATAATTAATATTTAATACAATGGTACTTTGTTTATTTTAAGGTGGAGGAATGACTTAAGACACACACAGCTTTTTTGTACTCATTGAGTAAAGGCATTAAACTATTCTGTGTGCCTGGCCCTGGACTAGATACTGGAGGATTTGTTGATTCAATAGTCTTTTTGAAATTCTCAGAAAATACTCATTTGGATAATAATGTATTATCCTAATGTCCCTCCCTAAGTGATACCAAAGTTTTCCTTCTGTGCTTTATAGCTATACTGAAAGCAACTAAACAAACTCATTCTGCCTACAAGCATAGGCTTCTAGAATCGGAATGTATTTTTTGGTTATTATATTCTGTGCTGTAGCCTCCTGATTAGTTCTCCTGATAATTCTCATAAAGATTTCCAGAGAGAAGTGTTTGTTTAACAAAATATATAAATAATTCCAGTGTCACTGCTCTCATCTTTGGAAATCTATTTTCAAATGTATTCAAATCTAAGATTAAATTAACTTGTTTTTAGTGTGTTTTTGTTTTTACCCAACTTATTTAGTTGAACTCTGCACATGATAACCAGATGTGTAACTAGAAAACTTGGTGAGGATAAATTTCGGAGAAGTACTCTGGAAAAGCTGTTTATATGCTTGATTTTATATTTTAATGCTATGAATCTTAGTACTAATAAGCCTTAGGGTTTTCTGTCTGGATGGCACAAAAATATAAACTGTTTTCATGTAAAAAAAAAAAAAAAAAAACTGAAAATGGCTTATATCATTTTTTACGTAAAGTTTGTTGATTGTTTTATTTCTTTTACTGAGATTTATGTTCTTGTTCACATGAGGGCTGAGTGGTTTAGTCTGTGTGTATTGTCCCATGACGGGAGGCGCTCAGTCATTCCAGCGTAAACACCAACGCTGCCATCCTTGTTTCACGGAGAAATAATGGTGCTTCTTGCAGTTAATTGGCTAAGATCGAAAAGCTTCTCATTTTTTACTTCTAAAAACAAAATCTTGTCCAAGTTACTGTGTATCAACATATCAGTGGTTGATATTAGTGATAACAAAAAAATTGAAAAGCATGAAGAAAATTACCTAAATATAACTGGTAGTGACAGAAACCTTCTTAATGTTTTAACATAACCTGCAGTGTTTTCTTAATCTGCAGTGTAAACATTCACCTGACCTCATGCAACACTTTTTGTTCACATACATATCTTAACTTTTCTTCTAGGGGACATTCGTCTAACACCAGAGGACTTTGCTAGAGCTCAGAAATACTGCAAATATGCAGGCAGTGCTTTGCAATATGAAGATGTCAGCACTGCTGTGCAGAATCTGCAGAAGGCTCTCAAGTTACTGACCACAGGCAGAGAATGAAGAATGGAGCCTTTGTACAACGCGTTCGTGTATTTGGGGCCTAGAGAACTACCAGCCCGTTGCTCTGTCTTCAGCATCTCAGGAGCACAGTTTTAAGGAAGACTTCAGTTCCATTGAATGTGACAATGAAATCTGTGTGTGTGAGAGATTCCTGCTGAAGTATGTATCAGCAGCCTCAGACAGTTGTCATTGTCCGTTCAGCGGATCCAGTGATCTCTGGGTACATGGAGCTGAAGTTAACCGGAACCTGAAAATACTCATTGAACCATACTTCAGAAACTCAGAACACACGTCTATAAAATGTATATTGGGAGTAAGTTTTGTACCTTAATTTACATAGAGTAAGGAAGTTTGTTTTTGTTTTTTAATCGATAATGTTTAAACAGTCCATTCTTGCTTTGCTATAAAGTTCTAAATTGAACTTTTAATAACTATTGTCAGAAAATTCTAGATTAGAGATCATGTTTTTGTTTTTCTCAGGACATCTAAAACAAATATGAATGTCCTGAGCTGTTAGGTGAAACTGCAAGAAATTATGTTCAAAACTCAATTTATTTTCATGTCAATTATAACTGCATTGAAAGCTAAAAAATTCATGGAAGGAAATATAACAAAGTAAAGAGGTAGAATCACCATTTTAGGCTTAAGAATAATGCTGGTTTCCCAACTGCTTTGCCTTACATAGTGAAGCTAAGGTGAATTGGTATTTGCTTCATAGGCGGTTTGACTGCATGTATTAGAGAATCAGAAGAGACATGTAGTAATGCCTGACAACTTGGTGCTTGAGGTTAAGGCTCTCCTCTGCTGCTAATGGATTCCCTAGAGCGTATAGCTATGAGTGGTGCAGGAATTTAGATTCTCAGTTGTTAACTTTATACGTTTTGTGGGGAGTTATGGATTGACTGTCATCTGCATTTGTGCTATGTAAAAAATAAATGCAAGGATTCTTTTAACTAGTTCAGCTTACTACAAAGCCATATGTCTGTTTTGACTCTCAAGTAGAATTGTCTTTTTTTTTTTTTTAAGTTGCAGAAATATGGATGTGTCCATAATAATAGACAAACAACTCTTAAAAAAAAGGTGAATTTGGAAGATTAACCTGAAATTGATCTGGTCCATTGCATTCATTCCACTGAAATTGGTAGAATTCCCTTAACACAGGCCAACCAACTATGGCCCATGGTCTGGGCACCTGGTAGGTAAATAAAGTTTTACAGGAACACATCCACACTCACAAGTTTGCCTGTGTCTGATTTCAGTGACAACAGAGTTATATGGCCTCTGAATATAAAATATTTCTCTGGCCCTTGAAGAAAAAGTTTATTGACTCCTGTTCTTATACAGTGTTTAAAAGAAAAGGAATCATTAACAAGGAATCATTAACTCATAATCATTTGTGTTTTCAAATTTTCTTTGCATAAATGCAATACTGCTTTACAGGTTTTGAGTAAATGCATATTCAGAATAAACTATTCTAAATTATTGCAAAAAACAAGCCAAAAAATGCTTCCTGGAAAACATGTTCATGTCTTCATAGCTGAACTCTTAAATTTGGGGGTTCATCATTTGCACCTAGAAGTGTCGTAGTCTGCTGTGGTTCTCTAGAACCTTATATAGGAAAATGGCTAGGGTGTTTTTAGTGTTACAAGAGATAAATATAGTTCAGCAAATTTTAACATGAGCCTTAACATGTCTGGACATTAAAAAACTAAATATACCACCTCCTTTTTCACACTCTACCTATTGGCTCCTAATTAGGAGAGGACACACAGGGAAGAAGATAACATGGAAACCATGGAATCCACTCATGAAGTTGGCTTCATGCTATGACAGAGCTCTTCTCTGTAAAATGAAGTGACAGCCTTAGCCTCTTGGAGTTTGTTGTGAGAATTAAATGAGATCATATATATAACACGCTTAGCACATGATGACATTTAGTAAATGTTAATTGTTAATAGTAACGTCTGTCATAAATAAGGAGTCCTGATGGCGCAGTGTTTTAAGTGCTCAGCTGCTAATTGAAAAGTCAGCAATTCAAACCCATCAGCTACTCCAGGGGAGAAAGATTACAGCCTTGGAAACCCTATAGGGACAGTTCTCTTCGGTTCTATGGGGTCACTGTAAGTTGGAATCAAGTCAGCAGCAGTGGGCTGATTATTTAATGTTGTAGTAATAGTGTAAATTGTTGTTCATAATAATTTATTTCCCAAGTATCAGGAAATCCCAGTTGTCTTTATTGCCCAACACTTAAAAATGCTTTCTTGCATGAGGAAATTAAACTATATAATATTTTTTAGCTTGGTGTTTGTATTTATTAATATAGTCTATCAAGAGTAAGTTAGAAGAAAATCTCTTTTGACACTAGGATAAGCATTTTGATTGATTTATTCAGCATATATTTCTTGAATAGCTACTGGGTGCCTGGCATTGTCCTCTGCATAGGATACAGCAGAAAACAAGAAAAAAATTCTCTGCCTTAAAGAATTTACTTTCTAAGCAAGGAAAACAGACAATAAAAAGCATAGTCTGTATTTTATTCTATCAGTGGTTCTGGTATGTTGTGAGAAATGCAAATCTGAAGCCCTACCCCCCGTCTGACCTAATCAGAAAGTCTCAGGAAGGAAGCCCAGCATGCTGTGTTTTAACAAAGCCTGCAGGTGGTTCTGGTCTTCACTAAGCTTGTTGTTGTTGTTGTTGTGTGCCATCAGTCGGACCCCACTCATAGCAACCCCTCCTTGGGTGGCTGAGGCAGTATCTCTACAGAAGCAGATTGTCCCTTCTTCCTTCCAAGGAGTGGCTGGTGGGTTTGAACCGCCAGCCTTCTGGTGAGCAGTCAATCCCTAAGCTTAGAGTATGGTAAACTCACCCAAATCGCAAGGATTGAGAGTCTGAGAGGAGAGGTTCCCCAGAAGAGGTGGGCCTCCATGTGTTCCCTAGACCGCCAGCATCAGCATCACCTGGGAACTTGTTAGGAAGTGTTGGAAACCACACTTTGGGAATTTCTGAATTTAATGAATGCTAGGGAGAAAAAGGAGCTCTGGTGGTGTAGTGGGTAAGGCATGTGGCTGCTAACCTAGAAGGTCAGCAATTCTAAACCCACCAGATTTACAGCCTCAGAAATCCGCTGGGGGTCACTGGGAGTCAGAATTCACTAGATGGCAGTGAGTTGTGT